TCATTGATATGGGAAAATCTTTATTTTGCCTTAATTCTTATAGGATAGTTTTGGTGGATATAGAATATTGTTTAAGTTTTTTCTTCAGCACTTTGAGCATGTCTTTCCATTGCCTTCATTATTTTAGATGAGAAGCCAGTCATTAATTGTAACTTGTATACAATGTACCATTTTTTCTTGTCTCTTTTAAAATTTTCTCCATTTCAATATTTTGATCATGAGGGCCTAGGTGTGTATCTCTTTGTATTTATGCCATCTGGGACTTGATTAAACTCTTGAAAGTAAAGATTATTTTCATGAAATTTGATACATTTTAACCCATTATTCCTTCAGATAATTTTTATATTTTCTCTCTCCTCTATTTCTGAAATTTCTATTGCACATGTATTGGCATGCTATTGTTATCTCAAGGACTCTGTGCCTACACTTATCATCAGTGGTTTTTCTCTATATACTTCCATTGTTAACTTTTATTGATCTTTCTACAAGTTTACTGATTCTTTTTTATGCAATCTCAAAGCTGCTTTAGAGCTTGAATTTTTCATTTAATTTAGTGTGCTCTTCAACTCCAGAATTTTCATTTAAGACATACATCTTTTCACTGAATATCTATTTGTTTATTCATTGTTATTATACTTTCCTTTAATTCTTAAATATGGTTTTATTTAGTATTTGAACACTTTTTAAACAGCTGCTTGAATGTTTGTCTGCCAAATCTAACATCTGGAGACACTCAAGACAGCTCCCATTAACTTATTTTTCCCTGAGTATGAGCCATACATTCCAATTACTTTGCACATTTTATAATTTTTGCTGGATACTGGACTTTTTGGGTAATATATTATAGTGACTCAGAATTATGATTTTACAGTAAAGATTATTTTTGCTTTTTTACTGTTTGTTTGTATCTTTGGCTGGGCTAAAACTCTGATTTCTTGCTCTCCCGTAGTGTACAGTTGTTAATGTGTCTGCTAAGAAAATGTTTACAGGTTTTTTTTTAAGCCTGGCTCTTTAGGTTTTTTACCCCTGTATCTGTAGAACTTAGCAGTTGGGCAATTATTGGACACAGTTTGTGCTCAAACACCTCAAGCCAGTAAGGCTTCCATCCTCTGGAGATGGGCCTGTGTATACTGGGGAGGGCAAAGTTCAGGTCATTTTTACATCTGTCCCAGCATTTGCTTTTTAATGGGATATTTTTCTGTCTTCTAAGTGCTTGTGCATAGCCTTGTGGTCAACCAGGACTTTGTGAATTGTTTAGTCCCTATTTGATCTCTGCTGTCTGTGTATTTTTTTCATATTTCAGCCAGAAATATGCTTGCACTAACCATGCTACAACTTCAGGCCATAATCCTTACTCTTTGTGAATAGCATGACTTCCACCAAAAACATTTCTGGGTATGATTGTTGCCCACTACTGCCAGTTAGATAAGCCCCTTTCAACAATGGTAGTGCAGTTCCTGTCACTCATAGCCTGCCCTGTTTTGGTAAATTCTCCATACCAACCAAGCAACAGAGGTGAGATGGGAGTATTCTTAAGCAAGAACATCACAGACTCCCATTGTTCTAATCCAAAATTTACCAATCTTTCAAGCATAAATGCTTGTCAGATTGACATAAGTTACTGGTCAATTTCCAGGATGCTATAATGCTTGTTTTGGACAATTTTATCTAGACTTATAGTTGCTTATTAGGGAAAGGGTTTTCATACCTCCTTATTCAGCCACAGCCTGAAGTCCCACCCCTCAGGATAATGTTATACTGATTCTCAGACCAAATAAGAATAATTAAAAAGGGAAAAGTATAGATTCTTTTTACTTATAAAAGTAGTTTCAAATTTTCTAAATAAAATATTAGCTATCCAAATTCGACAGTGTGTTAAAGAATATGTTACGGTTAAGTATCTTTTACCCTAACAAAACAATAAGTGTTTAGCAAATTTATCAAGAAATTTATTACAGTAGTAGACTGAGACAAATCAGAAAATTATTTCAATAGTTACCGAGAAAGCATTTGATAATAATCAAGGCATATTTAGAAGATTAAGAACAGAATGGAACTTCCTAAACTTGCTAAAGTTTAAAGAAAAAACATCTATCCTAACCATTATACTTAATGGAGAAACTTTAGATGTATTTCCTTTAACAAATGAGGAGAGAGGGAAGTTTGATGTTCATTATCATCACTACTGTTTAACTATTAAACTCTAGATTCTGGCCAATGATATAAGGAAAAGAAAAAGAAATAAAAGAGTGATAAGATTGAAAGAGAAGTTATAAAACTCCTATTATTTCCTATTATACGCAGATAATGTGATCAACTACCAAGAAAAAAAATAGAATTAACAGATAAACTATCAGAATTAGGAAAAGATATGATCAAGTTATTGAATATGAGATCAACTTGTAGAAATCAATAGAATTTGTCTATACCAACAATAACCAGATAGAAATACCACAAACAACAAAATAACCACAAGAGCAATAAAATTATAAATTTTCTAGGTATTTGCAAATATTATAAAAATCTCTGTGGAGGATACTTTATAGATTTCATAGAGTACACAAAAATTATATAAATTGATGAGAAGGTATTCTGTCCTCCTGAGTTGGGTAGGTTGATATTATAAAAAGTCAATTTTACTCGAATTAATTTATAAATTATTTTTATCCTTAATCACATTGGGTTCCCAAATTCAAGCCAGATTTTTCATAAACTTTTTATTTCTAATAAACATGTGGACGAATATATATCTATGCACAGGTAAGTAAACTTTGAAAAAGACGAACTGAGAAAGGGAACTTGTCTTATTAGTATTAAAGCAATGAACTAATCTGAGTAGAATAAGGAACTCAGAGATACACACATATGAACTTAATATCCTACAAAGTTGGCAATCTAAATCAATGAGAAACATTGAATGAATCAACCAACTGAAGAACAAAAGTCTCTTCATGGACCAAATACGTTAGAGATCAGAAATTATGAAGAACTAGACTGGGTTGGTAGAAGTGGAAATGGTAAAAAGGAGACAAATTTGGGACAAACTTTGGAGGCAATACCAACAAGACTTGTTGGAATGGATATTAGAGTTGGGAGGTGAAAGACTGACATACTAGTGAAGGAGAAATTGATGATGCAAGAGAAAGGATACCTGTAGGAGGAAAATTCTTGGACAGGTGGAGCACCTTATTCTGAGAATGAGTTTCAGGGTTGATTTTTGATGGGAGGAATCTAAGCAGAGAAAGTGAGTAGATTTGTCTCTCTTATAGTGGAGAAAAAAATAACAACAAAAACAAAGTGTAATTGCATGAATTCATTCAAACACAGACAAGTAAAAATCTTGACAGAAATTACCTGAAAGGCACATAGCCAAATATTAAATCCCTTAATTTATAAGTAAGTAGTTTCCTAGGTATCAAAACATCCAACCATTAGAACTTTACCTACAGGTAAAAATTATAGTTCAGGCATAAAATGTTAACCGAGAGGTATAATGTCTTAAAATTTTATAATTTTTCCTTAAAAATCTTATTTGATTAAAATTCAGTAAATGTATGTCTACATATGAAAACATCTGACCAGTAATATTTTTTAAATAGCAGGTTTGTTAGGATTGGGGTGTGTATTTGTGTGTGTGCGTGTGTGTGTATTTCATGTCTTTGTTTGTCATTTGCTTGTGTTTTATATTTTTCAACACCACTGATGTATCAGTTTCCCATGAAGGAAAAAGAACAGGAGGAAGGGGAGAATGGGTCTTACAGAATGAAGCTCTCTCTAAATGTGACAAGGAAAGGCCAATTTGAAAGTTACTAGTAAACCTTTCTGACCTCCACAGATTTTGTAGAGCAGAAGCAGCTCCGTTTTGTTCAGATAAAGGATGTGCAGTGATTGACCAATTGAATGGTAACCATGTTATTGTTTTAAAAGTGAGACTGGTTGAGCCCAAGCAAAGAACTTGGTTGACTAGATTTACTACATAGGCTGAGGTTCTCAGACCTTCCTGAGTAACACAGACAGGAAAATGGTAGCTTGGTTAGACGATGGATGTTAAAGTAATTTGGGTGTGCCTGCCCTGACTGATCATTTTAATTATGTGTTAGGGATAGGAAAGGAGGAAGAGAAAGAAGATATTGGAGACTAAGCTACATAGGATACCTGGAATCATGTGAGTAGTTTTCAGGATACATGGTGATAGCCTTGGTTTTGTCAATAACTTATTGTGAGACATTATAGGCCAGAAATTTCCCCCAGTTGGGCCTAGAATTTATTTTTTTGTATAAATAAAAAATTTTTGCATAAATATAAAAAATATTTACAAAGTGAAATTGGTTGTATGAAGGGTTGCATCTCTGTAGTTTCTTCCACTTTTAAGTTTTTTACCACAGAATGCTTTTCTCAAACAAATATTAACCTGAGTCCTAATCTGCAAAACAGATATAAACAAACAGCTTTAGATGAATTAGGGGAACTCTCCAGGTATTAGAAAAGATATGCAGAAGGAAGTAAAAGAAGAAAAGAAAAAAGAAATAAAATGAGTCAAACGCTTGCTAACGCATGTTAAACACTTCAGCTGGCTTTTTAAACTTAGTTTCTTATTTGATCCACATTCCATTTCACAGATGAAAAAACTGAGACCTAGAGATACAGAATTGACCAAGTGACATAAACCTTAGTTCTACAGTCCTATGAAGGCTCTTCTTAGAGAAAAGACAGGACAAGAGGAATGAGAAAGGCTACAGAAGGCAGATATCACACTGGCTAACTCCACCTCTTAGTGTCTGCCAGTGCCTGAAATGTTTTCAGAGAGTTGAGTCATGGGTTGGGCCTATGGACAAGCTATACCAGATATTTAGTCCACCCCTGGACTAAGCCATGTTCCCTCCCTTCTGTAGTTGTCTTCATAACAGGTATGACCTAGTAATTAGGAAATAGATACTTCTAAATAGAATCAAACATAATCTCAAAAGCAAATATGACAAATCGACTTCAAATATTCTCACCTTTGCTGGGGCAGTGGCCCTGGTGGCTCTTGTTAAATCCCTTTTCTGGGATTTTGCCTCTTTTTCCCTGGAAGACAGCAAGGAATAGCAGAGATTAGACATGTCTGCCCAACGTTTAGGGATATCAGCATACATAGTAAACTTAATTTTGACCATTCTCCTCAGCCCAATCTGGCATGTCAGAAATGGAGGTATGTCAAGAAATGAGCACAGGTACCACAAATCTTTCATCAGTACTGAAAAATGTCTCAAACATAGTTCTACTAAAAGAAGAATCTCTATTTTCAACTGCCTAACAGACTGCATCCCTTAAATACTTCTGACATTCAGATGGTCATCTACTCTAAAAGTCATCTGTACCATTGTTGGAATGTTTCTCTTTGAAAGACCGTATTCATATTGAACAAATATCTACCTGCCTGTTTTAGTCCTAGTTCGAACCTCTAAGGTTGTGGGTCTAAGGACCCACAGAGCAAATTTAGCAATTTGAGGACAGCTTTTATGCCTCATACAGTCTCCTTCTTTCCAAGTTAAGAAACCAAGTTTTTACCAACATAATTTACACAGGTAATAAAAATAATAATTGAGTGAGTGACTTCAAAGTGAAAAACTGCTTTGCGTGTCTTAAGACATTTTATTTTTGTTTTAAATTAGTTTTCAGTAAATTTATTATATTCATACCTTCAGTCTCCTTTCAAAACATCCTGTGTAACAAGGAGGAAACTTTATGGTGAATAATACACCTGCTGGTTTACGTTCAGAGTTCAAGAAAATAAGAAAAGATTATCCAACCTGCCCCAGGCCTCCCCCGACCCTAAATCTTACCCTGCCTGCCTTCATCTTCCCACAGTGTCTTCATCAGAAATAGCACATGTGATCAGAGCTTCATTATCCCAATGTTATTGACTGTTAAATTAAATCCCCTGACACATACCAACCTGGCATTTTAAAAATTAATTATAACAATTATCTTAAGTAAACTTAGTATCAGCTTGATACCAGTGTTGAAGTTTTGATGGTAGTCAGAAATTGAGAATGACCTCCTGTTCAAAAACAAATTAAGAAACTTTGATTTGAGAATTCCAATGGATAACTCAAGCCTTCTTCCACCTTTGGGGTGTCATTGGAGAGAAGGAAATCAAATTAAGAAACATTGCATGGATGTTGGTAAATTTCCTGGATGCTAATTCTTTCTGAGTTGCTACAATCAACTCTAGTTCATTTCATCTTGGCATAATCCCAGATATCTGAAGACAGGGCAACTCCCAGAGGCAGAGTGTATCATGCTTAACTCCTGCTCGTGGCAACGAGGAGACTTTGGCACCATTTCTGAGGGGCTTTTCTCAGTCCCCAGTGTAGACCAGAGGCAGGTCTTAAGAGGCCCCCAAAAATCTTTCTTTCTTTTTTCCTAGAGCTAGAAAACTCAAATTGAAACCGCATCTTCAAAAGACTATTAAGTGCTGCATAAGCTATTAATACTGAGCCCTCTGGGATGTTTCAGAATACCATTTGAGTGATTATTAAAATCATTCCAGGTAGGTGGCACTTATCCAACTTTACCTAATTAGAGGTGTCAGAGTGATCTGCTAAGCATTTTTATTTAACCATTTAGAGTTAGAAAAATATACCCCACGGAAAAAAAGAACTCATTTTCTAGTTCAGAGAATAGCTGGTAAGTCAAGCAATTAAAAGCAAGTCCTTACTCACAATATCGTTTTGCATGAGGCACATTTGTTGATGAACATTATTCCATCAGGGCTTTCAAAAAATTTTTTATCTCTGGAACAGAACAATTTTCCATTTTTCATCAATGCCCGATATTCATTGCATGTTTCCTAAGGAAAAGGTGAAAAATAGTTGTGTTGACTGAAACCTCATCAAAGCAAGACTTTATCTTCTAGAAGAACTTCCTTGAGCAATATTATTTAATGACCACTACTCACTTTGTATGGAAGATATTCCCTCAGTTGATACAAATAATGCAAATAAAAGTAATGACTGGATTGTCTGCTGGAGATTGCAAATTCACCTAATAAGAATTCATTTAAAACGACTAGTGAAATGGAAAAAACAAAAGACTCGGAGTCAAAAGATCTGAGCTTATTTTCCAGGGTTCTCATTTACAAGCCTTAGCAAATTAACTTCTCAAAGTCTCACTTACCCTATTGGTAAAAATAGTGGATATAAGTAGGTTTCATAGGTTTTGTGAGGGTTAAACATTATATGTATGCAAGCCCTCAGTTGTCATGCTGTGGCGGTTGCATGTTGCTGTGATGCTGAAAGCTATGCCGCTAGAATTTCAAATACCAGTAGGGTCACCATAGTGGATAGTTTTCAGTGGAGCTTCCAGATTAGGAAGGGAACTGGCCACCCACTTACCGAAAAATTGGCTATGAAAACCCTATGAATAGCAGCAGAGCATTGTCTGATGTAGCACCGGACGGTGAGAGGATGGAGCAAAAAGACTGGGCGGGGTTCCATTCTGCTGTACGCAGGGTCCCTAGGAATCGACTCAACTACTAACAACAACAAAAAGCCCTCAAAGAGTGCCTGATACATAGTAGATAATCAATAAGTAGATTTGATACCGGCCTTGATGTCAGTTTCCCTACATTAAACCCAGCATATATGGGGTTAAAACCAAAACACTCATTCCCTGCTTACTCCCTGGCTTCCTGGCTCCAGAATCCACTATCCTCCATGGAGAAAGACACAGCCAAGGCTAAGCACCTGGATTCGTTATCTCCTCCCAGCAAGGAGGTACAAGCCAGTGGGAAAGCTGCTGACCAGCAAGATCACAGGCTCCCTCTTCTCCGCAAGTAGTCTCAAGGCCAAAGACAGGCTGGTGGGAAAGCTCCAACCCACAAAGCCATATGCTCCCCCTCCCCTACCTGAAACCCCAAATAAAAACCCCTCCTTTTAGCTTTTCAGGGAGTTTGGGATTTCAGCGTTAGCTGCCCTCTCTCCTTGCTCAGCGCTGTGCAATACTAAAATTCCTACTTTCTTCCACTACACCTGGTTCCAGAGATTGGCTTGCTGCTGACAGGTGATCAGACTCACTTCAGGTCCAATATCGGATTCTCTTCATCTCTTCTTCCTCCTTTATTTTATTATTATTGTTGCTGTAATCATTATTATTATTGGAATATAGTAAGTTGACACATACAAAATACCTAACATACAGTAGCTTAATAACAACTGCCGTAAAAATGAATATGAAAAGGTTGTTGGAAAGGCTCAATATATATTATTGAAGGTCCAGTACATGTCACTCACTCTTTTCTAAGAGCTTAAAATCAATAGTACGTTTGCACTACCTAGTAAAGTACTGATTTAAAATGTTATACAGAAAACCCACTGAGCCTTTATAGCAAGATTTTGGAATCTAAATTTGTTTTGTTTTGATTTTGACAAAAAAAATATCCTCTTTCAAGGTGCTTGTATCAGGAAAAAAAATTAAATTGAGCCTTTGCTCCAACTTTGATAAATACAACCTCTCCCAAAGGTTATAGAATTCTATTCAGCTTTCTATATCTTTATAGTAATCATTCAATCAGTCAACAAACACATTATGACATTACTATACTTTGTTAAGTGCCGTGGATATATCAGTAAATAAGGCAGAAGGATCCTTGCTTAAATGATGCTTAGCATCTAATGGATAATGATGTACCTAAGCTAGCCTCTTAAACATGGGAAGGAATGGATAACACTTGCAGAATGATTAGTGGTGAAGAAGGATAATAAACAATATCAGAGAGCAGCCTTGGGAAATTTTGCTAAGGGTGACCTACTAAAATATAAATGCAAAATATTATTATTACCACTCAGCGATCTTATCTGAGTAGCACGGTAATAATTTCTGCAACAGACTGGCAACTGGGCATCTTAGATCTGTGTCTTGTCTCTGATTCTATAGTATCTTATGCCAACTTGCAAGTTAACTGCTTAGCTTGCCGGATATAATTGATTCTATACAATCCAGACAAAATCCCTTGTTACAGAATCAGAGAAGACTCTGGAGTCTTTGTAATAAAAGTATATCCCTTGTGAGGTAGGTCTTAAAGAAAGTATTGAAAACAAAGATTCATGATAACACTAGAATGAAGCTTTAAATAGTTTTTAGTAGTCAAGTGAAAAAGGACTTTATCCATCAGGGTGATTCCTGAATTGGATTTCTCCAATGTCACAATTAGATGAGCACCTGATTCCTAGAAAGACCCCCCTTCTTTCACAAACGGACAAACGAGGCCCAGAGAGAAGGTTTAGAAACTTGTTCACACTGTCTAATTACTTAAGATAGCTCAATGCTATTTTTCTGAGTTACGAAATTATTCAATGTATGCTCTTGGGAAATAGGAAAAGGCCATAAAAATGGAAGGCAGCTGTTGGGTTTTTCTCTCAGAAAAATGTAATATCCCTCCAATTACCATAATAGAGAGGTTGAAACAGTGGCAGAGCTAGACCAAAGAGACCTCCTGCGGTAGGGAGAGAACTTTTCAGTCACTGTTTACTTGCAGTCTAACTTCCAGCCTTTGGCTTGTTTTTGTTTCATTTTGTTTTGCTATTGTTGCTGTTTTCTCCACATGTCTCAGGAAACTGGAACCCTCTGGGTCAAAGTCTTTCTGTTTCCTTCACCGGTGTGACATAGCCCACTGTCTTCCATTGTTTCACCCCAGACATCGTAATAAAATGTCCCGGGAGCTGGCACTCCCCTTCTCTGTGTTAGAGCACTAACAAGTTTGCTTCTGTAAAGACAAACTTCGGCATATGGTAAAGATCCTTGCAGATTACCACAGGGCTTTTCCGTGCTGTTGTAGCTCGTGTTTGTAACATTCAACACGCTTTTCTGGTACTAGAAAGAACTAAAGCTACAGGACTTGGAAAAAAAAAAAAAATTCCAGCACCATGAGAAAGACCAAATCAATAGCTCTCATTTCTGAAAAAATATCCGGAATAGATCAGAAATATTTCCAGAGAAATAATTACTTCTTTGTGTTCTTCTGGCTTATGCCAACATAAGAGGTGGCTACAGTTAGTTTTTAAAACATTTTTAAGTGATGTAGAGATTAATGGTATAAAAAAGCACCAGTGCAAAATTTGAAATATCCACTGGAAATCATCACCCATTAGCATAGACTTTGAAGAGGAAAATATGGCTTCATGCACAGAGATTTGCACGACACTCTGCTTTTTGCTAGTGTAAAACATCCAAGTGAACATCCTCTTTGATTGCCAAAAATCTGGCCTTTTCGTCTGTTCTACCATACCACTTTACTTATACCATGGATCTTTCTGAATCTCTCCTTACTCAGCAAATTCAGGTGAAATAATAGAGACTGAAATGAAATTCTCTAGAACATTCCTGTAAGAAGTTTCTTTAAAAAAAAAAGTGTTACAATAAAATACTGCAAGAGAGTATTTTAACCATAGTTCTAGGAGTTTCAGTGTGGAAAAGGGTTGTTTTACTGTTTTATTGTTTAAATGTTCATGGCTTCTAAAAGACATAGCAAATATTTGCTATGTACCTAGCACTGTTTTAAGTGCTGAATGAACAACGTTGTTGTGTGTGTGTGTGTGTGTGTGTGTGTGTGTATGTGTGTGATTGGCCCTTTCAAGTTTTTTTCTAATAGAAAAAAAAATTAACTCCTATAGAAAATGATTCTTTTCTTGCTCAAACAAAGACCTCTAAGAGTTGGTAAAGCGCCCCCCAGAGTCAGGGCCTCTGCCATCACAGGTGCTTCTGCCTGATCTACTACATGTTGCACATATCTTCACAACTTACTGCCTCATCACCGTCAGAGCCTTGTTTTAATGCTACCTTTTCAGGGAGAACTTACCTGACTATCCCAGGAAGAATTGATACTACCTCCATCCCCAGAAATTCCTACTTTCCATCTTGCTTTATTTTTCTCCCAGCACTAACCATTATTTGATGTACTATATATTTTACTAATTTACTTATTAACATGTCTGTTTTCCTCAGATATAAGCTCCATGAGGGCGGGCTTCTTTTCTATTTTCTTTACTTTAGAATAACCCCAGCATCTCAAACAGGATCTGACGCATAATAGATGTTCAGTAAATATTTATTGAACGGAATATACACACTGACTATATACAAGATACAGACAAATCCTTTTTGCATAATGATCACAAGAGAACACATAGTTCAGTTTCCTACGTGTGTCATGACTTTTTTCAGCTGTTAAACTGAACAGTAGTAATTCGCTAGTTTGTTTATGAAATTTTAAAGCACTCCTTTAGCATGGCAGATTACCTCTCACAGATGTCCATCATCATTAATACATTGATTTGTGTGTGTGTGATTCATGTCTTGATTCATAAAGACTTGTTTCTGTGTTTTTAACACAAGCCATTAGTACCTATCCATTTAATATGTCTGCATTATTAACATGAAGGTGTTGGCCACAAACGATTTCTCTTTAGGGAGCTTGGAATGGATTCAATGAACAGAAAAAGCAGGACTAACCTGATTTTCATCCTCACTGGCAGCATCTGGGACAAAAATACAGAAACCAAAGTTAAGGGAATGTAAAATATTTAATAAATAAAAAAACCCAATCCACTTAGTGCAAGGTCTTGCTTATTCTGAGAGCAATATGTCGTAAAATCACAAACTGTTTTTGAACACACTAAAATGTACCATGGCAAATAAAATGAGGACACTCCACTAGGACATCAGTATATGTAATCACAAAGGTCCAATGCCTCCTAAAGATCCAATTACTTTGAAAAATGATACTAATTGAGTTTAATAATAATTTTAAAATTTAATAATATTTTTAATTTGATAAAATTATAACATGATACACGTATCAAATATATTATATCAATTATAACTTAAAAGTACAATGTGGCACAAAGTTTATATCATATAAAATTAAATTTTCTGAATTCTGGTAACTCTACCTCCTCATAACAGACACAAAAATCAGAGATCTGATAAAAATTAAGGTGAATTTAAATCACAGACTTTATACTCTCTCATTAACAGACTCCTTTTTTACAGTTACTTTAGAAAGTGGGCATCATTCATATTTAATGATCTCCTGACTCTCCATCTCTGAGGGCTCCTTTTAAAAAGTGTAAACACTTCAGAGCAAGATAAGTCTAGGCAGTCCATGTTTCCTTCAAATTCAAATAGCAAATACAAAAACCAACTTCCTGCCTGCCACAAAATTCCCTTACTCTTTAGGAGAAATGCTTTCAATCCATTTAGGATCTGAAAACACAAAAATAGAATATGCTAGAAGATACTACTGCTTTAAAATAAGAATAGATCATTGAATTTGACTTTTTAATATTTTATTTATATATAGTATTAAAATATATATTATGTACATCTAAGTTTTAAATATCTATTATATACATAATTCCTATCATTATGAATTGATATGCTTGGTGAGGAGAAGATAAAAAAGAATATATTAGCTTTTCAGAACTAATGCAGAATTAATGGAAGGATTTCTCACAGCTAAAAATTCAAATGATCTCAAACTACTTGCCATTTATAAAGATAACAGCATAGTTGTAAAGTCACATATATAGTTCTTCAAAACTCTGTGTCTGGCAAGATATTTCAAGATTACACACACAGGAGAAAAGCGTAGGGAGACAAGCATCTGCCCAAGGCTTTGTATGTGTGACAAGAGGCTTAGATTACATGCAAAGTGCTCACCTTGTATGAGGCAAAGAGCCAGGGTCAGAAGCATTGGCACTGTAGCTATCTTCATGTTGAAGATGATGTAAGTCGGTTACAAGTCTGCTCCGTGCATTGCTCACCAGCTGTTGCTCTAAGACTGAACCCGTGAAGCTGCAGCTTACTTTTATATATACTGTCAAGCACTAGTGACACCCACAAGAAAAACCAGTTGTTCAAGGTTGTGCTAAACTTAATACACCACATCAATTTAGTTTCCATCCTTTAGGATCCTGTCAAGGTGGCAGATTTGAACAGATAATGTCTATTTCTAAAGTAGTTCTAATGTGGTTTCATGGTATCTCCACCAAAAGGCAACAGATTGAGTCCAAGGACCCTGCTCTGTAGTCCTGTATAAGAAGTGAATTCCTCAGCAACCCCAGTCAAGACATATTACCCTTTAGACAAATATGTTTCTAATTGGGCTCTCTTCATAAGTGTGATGGGAGGGAAAAAGAAGATAGATTGGTTGTCCTTCCAGTCAGGTAAAGATTTAAAGATTTCCGCTTCTGGAGAAAGCTAATTAATAGTAAGGGAAGCAAGGATTCCTGTTGCTTCTATCTGAGGATATTCTGAAGTGTCTCAAGTCAGTGTCACGTATTCATATATAAGCTAGAGTTAATGACACTAAGAGATAACCTAGCAAAATTCTAACATTGAATACATGGGGCAACAGAAACTCAGAGAAGGAGCAATGACTTTCCCAAGAATACACAGTATAGATGGAAGAAGCAGAGGCGGCACTTGACGAAGACCGCAGGTTCCACGTTTTTTTTAACTCCACACACTGCTTCACCAATTACGTTAGTGAAGGCAGAAACTTCATGAAATCAAAGCTTGTACATCTATACTTTGAAAAATTCCCAATCTGAAAGATATTTTATATTCTAAAGCCTTATCTTATAGTCTAACCAAACATGATAAATGTAAACATTAGAAACTCAAGGTCTAACTCTCCACAGCCCACCACTCCTCAAATTACTCTTTGAAAAACTTGGCTCAATCAGTTTTCCCCTAAATTAGGTTTACTCCTGTATTGTCTCATTATTTAGTCTCCCAAGAAGGAAAGAAGAAATAAAATACAGCAGTCACCCCTTACCCATAAGGGGTACGTTCCAAGACCCTTAGCAGGTGCCTCAAACTGTGGATAGTTCTAAACCCTACGTTTTTTATAACTATAAAAACTACGTTTTTATAACTACGTTTTTTTATAACTACGTTTTTTCCTATATATACACATTTGAGGTAGAACAGCAAAACTAGCATGAATTTCCTTTTCCTTGTTCACAATTTCATGGATGGAAGATTTGTTCTTACAGTAGATCTTAGCGACCTCAGCATACAATTTTTTTTCTTTCCTTATTAAGCTGAGAACTTTCAGTTTTTCAATTAAAGGAAGCACTTTATGGTTTCTCTTTTCCTTATCCGAATTGCCAGCACCACTACCCTTGCAGTTTGGGGCTGTTAGTTAATAAAATAAGGGTTACTTGAACATAAACACTGTGATCCTGCGACAGTCGATCTGATAACCAAGGCAGCTGCTAAGTGACTAATGGGCAGGTAGTGGACACAGCACGCATATGTGGAACAAATGGAAGATTCACGTCCAGGGTAGGATGGAGCCGGATGGCACAAGATTTTGTTATGCTACTCAGAATGGTGTGCAACTTTAAACTTTTGATTTGTTCATTTCTGGAATTTTCTATTTAATACTTTCGGACCACAGAGTTGACTATAGGTAACTGAAACTGAGGCAAGCGAAACCATGGATAAGGGGTGACTACTGTATTAAAAAATGTAAATACAAAATGTGACATTTTTCTAGAGAAAGTATCTTTTCCTTAGTTCCTTCTTCCCTTCTATAATTAATATCTTTTGTCTACAAGCTTATTTTACTCTACCAGCTTAAGAAAGCACCTGAAGAAGTATGCAAAGATAACTGAAGCAACAGCCAAATGTTTAATTCCAGTACCTGCAGGGTCTCTACAACCACAGAAGAAAAGTTTTGGGCTTCATTAGATCAAATCCCTTTTAAAGACTGTTTCAGAAAATTATCTAAGGTTTTCCAACTTTGAGATCATGTCAATATTCTGAATACCATCAAAGCCAGAGTACTTCCTTCTTTTTTTTGTGAAGTAATTTATTTCCTATAAAAATATAATCACTGGTTACAAAATCTGTGCTATTAGCCTTGTGTCTTTCCAAAGGTTCAGTAAAATTAGTGCCATGGAAAGCAAGTTCACTGCATTACTGTGATAGGTTAGAAAATTGATATCCATCATATGTTAATGGAAAAAGAATAGAACAGGGAGTCAGGAAATTTGTTTGTATTCCTTTCTTTGCAACTACACAGTGTCATGGAAACAAACCTGGCTTTGGAGCATGGTAGATCTGGGTCCAAATCTAGACTCATCAATCTCTAGCTATGTTGTCTTGGACAAGTCACTTGTTTTCTCTCAGCCTCAATTTCCTAAAACATAAAATAGGGATAATAAAACTACATTGTACAACTGTTGTAAGCGTTGAAGGTAATTCATGTGTATGTATGTATGTGTGTTTGTGTGTGTGTGTAATGCTTAGAACAATTCCAATTATGTGTGACAAACTTTATAGTTTATAATAGCTGGCCTTCTGTTTTTATGTCATAATGATGTGGTTATACTAGGTTAATTTCTAAGATTCCAAGAAATGTCAGCATCTCTTGAAGTCGGACCTCAACAACAGATTTAAGTTTGCTTAGCACAGAATAACATTCCCAACCCATTCTGAAGTGAAATTAAAAAGTCAAGATATAAGTTCTCTTTTTCATTTTGTCATTATGGTCTAAACCACAATATCTAAAGCAAATTAAAGCATTAACTGTTTAAAACTTGCCAATGTCATTGCTAGGTTTCGATCACCATTGATTCCTTATATCTCTCTGTAAAAGCCTCTTCTAAATATTAACATATCAATACTAAGTTTTCATCTTTCATCTGCTCTGTCAGACCATATAAATTGTGTCCCAACCATACACATTATTATGGTAGTAGGAAAGTTTAATGCCTTCTAACAGAATTGGTGACTGTGTAATATGCTCTGATGAACCCCAAATCTAGCCGAAATGGATAGTACTCCCAGGAGTGGACATGGAAGTGCTGCTAGGGTGGAACAAAAGAACCAAAAGATGATTCCATGTCTAAAGAATCTCTGCTATGAGGAAAGGTTGAAGGAGTTGGTTTCCTTCTTACTGGAAAACAATTTGTCACTGACACCCAGAACCTTCTGAAATGATGAATAAGAATTTTGAAACTGATAACGTCTTCCAAGAGGAGAAGATAGCCACAAGGAGATTCAGTGAGCACCCCTAATGTTGGAGGTACAAGTCAGCTGGCTCTTAGCTTCTGGGCTTTTTCTCCATTTCATTTCAGGAATGTTGTAAATACAGAGGTGATTCATCACATACTCTATTAATCACTCCTTTCTCCTGAAAACCACAGAATTTAAATTTGAATGAATGGTATTGAAGCTTTAGAGAATTGAAGTTTGGGTTATCAGAGTACTTTCTTATTAGGTTATTAGAGTGCTTTTCTTAAATTCTATATTCTATCTTTTTCTTAGACTCTTTCAATCATTCATCAAACATGTAGAACCCCTTTTCCTCTCATTGAAAAGGAATAGAGCTAGGTTAAAAAGAAGTATAATCTTTACAATTCAATACAAGTATCAAATAGCCCAGAATGTGAATTCACATCAAGGATGCTGACATGGAGGAAAGAGATGAGAAAACTATGAAGTAAACAAGATTTTGTAGACCAGTAATGTCACTGAAGACAAAGGTTACTTTCAAAACCCAAAGCTATCTGATCATTTTCCAAATCTTGTCTTTTTCTATGCAGAGATATCCTTGGTGATCACAAAAGTTTAATAAACAACTAAAGCCCCTCACGATTAAATCACCTTCCATGTCTTTCAAAACGATCCACCATTCATTAGCTCTCTTAATTTGTTCATGCAATGTTGTGAGGTAGCAAAGTAGGTGTTATGATCCTTTCCTTACCTGCCAAAAATGGTACCATTAACCCATCCTGGAATAGGAACTAGCTGGGATGATAATCCTGGCCTTGTCTCTTTCTCATCTTTTACTCCCTGTGTGGCTATCTCATAGCCTTTCCTGTGGTTCAAAGAGAATCCAGACATTATAGTGCTTTAAACTACATAAAGTATTTTGCTAATATACTTCTTTCCTCTAATACTCTGCTCTCTGTCACACACTCCTACACACACACATACACAACCAGACACTCGCAATGACTTGTGCAAAGAACTGTGCTGTGACCATGACTGAAAAGTATATGTCCTAACAGATCTTAGAAGATGAAGTAATTTCTTGTTTATTTGCTTAATTTTTAAATTCTCTTTCTATAATTCTCATATTTTTACCCATTAATTTAACACATCTGTATTCTCCTTTTTGAAAGATACTAACTGGAAAACAGCCTTTAGCCACCTGCTTATCTTGAAATATTCCATTAACAGCTAACTTCGTTCCCTTTCTGAGAATTCCTTTCTGTTTGTCTAGAAAGGCCTAGAAGCTATGGAGATAAGCATCTCATTTTATCTAAGAACAGGATGGGATGGGCACTGTTTGATCCCTAAGCATACAGACTCTGCTATTTATAGATATAATTTTTGCTTTTATTAGATTAGGATTAAGAAAACAGGAAACTTTCAAGATCTGATTTTTAACTGTATTAAGTCTTACATATTGGCTTGTATTTGGTTCTTAAGCACAATGTCCAACTTCCCCCTACAGTTGATGCTACTGGAACCCCTGTTCCATGACCCCACACTCTCCATCACCTGAAAATTCAGTACATTCCAAGGTCTTCTAGGTTCATCCTGACTATAGGAAACAGAAGTTTGTGGAGCTACAGTCCTTTGAAAACAATCACGATGAACTAATTCTGAAGAAGCCAGTATACTGAATTTTGGCACAAGAGTATTTTGTATTTTATATGTGAAATATTTATGTGTGTGTATACAATAAACAAGAACAAAATTATTAGATTTATAAGCAAAATTAAGAAAACATGATCTTTATAAAATTATTTGCAAAGA